AAAATGTGTGAACATTTGAGAACGTGGCGAAAACGCAGAAATCAGCCATCTTTGTTTGGTTTCATTTGAACAATGTTGCCATTGCYCAATACGCATATACGAGTATAGTTTTGTACACATTAATGTTTTCAATTACAATTTTTTAAAAAATAAAATATCAAAATTAAAAACAAACTATTAAAAATAGTTTATATWWTTATAAATAATAGCATTCGAATCTGATTTTGAGTTATTTTAAGAAAATTTCAAACTTATTGAACAGATTGAATTATAATAGTTGATAATTATTACAGTATACAGATATTGGCAACCCTGCGTTGTGAGAGAGCAATCAGCTGACACGTTTCTACGGCTAAAATCCAAATGCCGTGAATTCTCACGTCATTCTACGTCAAAGAGAGAAGGGAGTAGCGTTTTTCACTGTGCACTTACATTGCACGCCCATAAGATAGGTCGTATCAGCGGACACGGGCCACGATTCTACGTTCTCCAATGTTTCTGCTATAAGTAAATTTGTGATAGCTGGTATTATTACTTCATGAATATTAGCAGGAACAGTCAAAAACGCTACTGCCTTCCTCCCTTTTCCTTCCTCATCGGCAAAATGTGTGTCCCGTGAAAAACGTGGCAAAAACACAGAATTCAGCCATCTTTGTTTGTTTTCATTTGCACAATGTTACCATTGCTCAATACGCATGTATAGTTTTGTACACATCTATGTTTTCAATTACAATTTTTTATAATAYAAAATATCAAAACTGGAAACAAACTATTAAAAATAGTTTATATATTTATAAATAATAGCATTCGACTCCAATTTTGAGTTATTTTAAGAAAATTTCAAACATATTGAACAGATTGAATTATAAAAGTTGATAATTACTACAGTATATACATAGATATTGGCGCCCTGGGTTGTGAGAGAGCAATCAGCTGACACGTTTCCACGCAAAAACCGAAATGTTGTAGATTCGCACGCCATCCGACGTCAAAGAGAGAAGGGAGTAGCGTTTTTCACTGGGCACTTACATTGCGCGCCCATAAGATAGGTCGAATCAGCTGACATGACNTTTGTGCTAAAGAATTCTGATTTATTTTGCTTTTTTTAAATTTGTTTTGTAAATATGAATTTATTCTTGTTGTTTTTTTTATTGTATGAAAAAGGAGAGATTGGAGAATACTCACCATAAAAATTGAATCATTGTTGTTCTTTTTTCTGTTTCTTTTCTTTCAACTAAAATAAACTTTCGTATAAAAAACCACTGTCCGATTATGCGTTTGAGCCACTGTAGATATTGGCGCCCTGGGTTGTGAGAGAGCAATCAGCTGACACGTTTCCACGGCAAAAACCAAAATGCTGTAGATTCACACGCCATCCGACGTCAAAGAGAGAAGGGAGTAGCGTTTTTCACTGGGCACTTACATTGCGCGCCCATAAGATAGGTCGAATCAGCTGACATGACCCACGATTCTGCGTTTTTGACTGTTTCTGCTATATCACGTGCTCTCTGCTGGGTATGACTTCGCTCTTTTTTATGGCGAATGGTTCATTTCCAACACCAAGTAATCTAAAGTTTCATTGACGATTAAATAGCTTTTAAATGCTGTTTCATAAGATATTTTTGCTTAACTTAAGAATCAATTCTTTTTTACTTAAGGTTTTCATAAGGTCTCATAAAGTTATAAGTTGTAACGATTCGTAAACAACATTGCATTGAGAATTGTAAATGTGTAAACTCATTTTTGTATGAAATCCAGCAACAATTMTTAAACAAGTGTAAAAATTTATAATTTTACGATGCTTTGCGACGGGTTGTGAGTACCCCAACTATATGAGATGAAGGAACGTTACCACAAATTCTCCATTTATTTGCTTCCGGTAGTTAACAAGAGTGCATTTTAAATCATTTTAACAAACTATTACAAAACTTGTTCTTAATTGTTTTTAGCACCATATTTGTGCGCTGTGAACTCCACAAAAAAACCAATGATTGAAGAGAACAAAAACATTTTATTCAAAAATATGTATAAAATAATATACATACATATATTTAATAATGCAAGTAGACCTGGACTCAACGTCGATTTTCAAAACTTCAAATAAAATGCAGTTGGGTATTGGAGGAATAATATGGTCATTGGATGCATACTAAATACAGAAACGTCCGACAAATACGTATATGTAYATACATATATGCATATATTTACATATTTATAAATACGTATACGTTTATATATTTAAATACCGACATATTTATACTAATAATCTCCATTGTGTAGACAATTTCCTCTTTTTGTTTTGATGTTGTTTTATCTATGACCTTCTAAAGGACACACGTGTGCAATCCATAAACAACTATCTCAAAATCAACAGGCAAACAAAACTAAATGGGTGTCGGCTATATAAGCATGGCGGTTCTATTCTCTCCATTCACTCTAATTTCTATATAAACAAGTTGATATGGTAACACATTTGTATGTATGAATAAGCAGGTGTATACAATATTACATACAAAAAATATTTATACACAGATATCGGCATATGTGTAGATCTAACAATGAGAGACGAACCGTCTTTTCGCCCACTCATAGCGAACTCGAGTGCGGCGTGAATTCAAAATTAAAATCAGACGATAGGTGCCCACTCAGCCAATCAATATGAATATTGGCACAAGTGTATAAACGGACTTAAATTATTTATATATACATTTATTTATATATACAAGTACACAGTGTATACAGTGAAATTCCTCTTAACCAGACACCCATCGTAGTAGAGATTTTGTCCGGTTAACGGAGCTGTCCACAAATGAGGGCGTGGTAAAAACGTATCTTTAAAAATGTATATTCTTACAGTTAGAAGTTGCAATTCAGAAATATATTTCTATTGAATAAAGAGTTTTACAATACAATATGATTTCTTCAAAAAGAAACACACTACTATTACGGAAATTCAAATGTTTTTTTTTATTTAATGTGAAGTACAATAGACAATATTCAAATGGCCCCATGACTTTTCTAGCAGGCACTAACTCGATGAACACCATTTTCCATACTTTTTCCACTAAATGAAGTCGTTTGTCAACATTGACTTCCCGTCTTGTTGGAACCAGATGTTGTCAAGAACACCCAGTAGTGAATGAATGACAATTATCTATGTCATTAGTTTCCGAAGTGCCATTGCGGCTAATAGGTAAGGCTTGCTTTGACATTTTATGTATTGTTCTTAAAAACCACTGCCACAAAACACTAAGTTGTACACCATTTCTTGACACATTTTATGAAATATTGTTCGTTTATCAGCGATTATTTGAATGAAACATTACCAAAAATATTGCCTATCAGGTCATTGAAACGTACTCATGTCCATTTATAGGAACTGGTTTTGTAGGAAAATATTAATGACAACGTTGTGTTCGTGAAATTTGTCCAGCTCTGATGTAGAATAGAACCCGCACTTTAAATAATTGGCCAAAAACCATAAGTCACCGATAACTATATATGTATGTATGTATTCTGTATCTACCCATAAATCCGAAATCGGGGGACGTTATTCTAAAATTTACCCTTTTGTCCAGTTATGTATGGAAGCTGTCCGGTTATGAAGACTGTTCGTAATGGGGAATTTCACTGTAGTTATGTTTATGCACATTTACAAATAAAGACACAAAAATTCATAGTATTACACTAACATTGTTATAGAAATTCATGAGTCGCTGCATTTATATTTTTATCTATAAATACAGCACTTATTAATTTCCTAGTGCACTGAACACTTGGTGGTAACCACCACTGATGGATTTAGTTCATACATAAACTTCATAAAAAGAACCGATTGTATACATTTACATATAATTGTTATAAATTGAAAGTATTAAATATAAAAATTAATGTTAAACAATTGTTGTTGTCTCCAGTAATATTGACAATGATAACGTTATTGACGTGCATAGTTTTGTATCTATGTACTTCGGCATTAGTGTTGCCATTGACGTTATTCAATAGCCGTGTATTAACTGCCTAACGTCGCTGCCTCGCTTTTGTGTTGGCTAACATGTCAGGTACCTTTCCCGCTATACACGACGATTGACAATGTGAACGCACGACCATARAAAGAACATTAGCGAACCAATGGCGTTCGCGTAACGCAGATCACGTTTACAATGTCGTGCGCTTAGTTACATTAAACTATTCGTTGGAATGAACGTTTTCGCACGTTTTCCTAGCGTATTTACATGTAATTAACAACTGCATGACAAAATTTGTTATTATAGCTGCAGAACAAATATCTTAAGTCATTTGGTGGCCTACTCAAAGTTGACAGTCCTTAGCCGGATAAAAACCTGGGATGTTCCCGGTTACGTAGAACCGACTTGTCTTTTATATCGAACAATTTTAGCATATTTAGCATATTCTTTTAACAATATTAATTTTGAAACTTTTTTCTCAAAAGTTTTTGATACTACCAATAATGCACTATAAATATGGACATTACAGTTAAGCGTGTAATTGTTGTTCTTGTGCTTTTCCAAATCATTAAAATATACAATATAATCCATAATCATCTTTGCTGAATATTATGAATAATTAATTAGTCGCGTCGGTATTCAGTCCGCCATTGCCAATAATAACATTTAAAGTGGTGATTGTATGTACATACATATATAACATCCATACACGTAGCAACAAGTACGAAATATTATTTTATGCTTTGAATGCTTGAATTTTAAATATTTCTTCTTAAAATTGACGTTTACAATATTTCTATCAATTTATATTATATAATCCTCAAGAAAATGTTAAAATAGAAATACATACATATGTATAAAAGTTATATTTGTGCATAAGAAATTTCTGTTTATTTCAATAATTAAATATAACAACATCATATTTTTGTTCACATGTATGGTCTTAATATTAGATACATAAAATACAAATTAAACTAAATACATTCCTATGATTATCTAAAAGAATACATTGTAATAATTGTTCATACCTACCTTTCATACTTAACCGAATGCGGAGCGTGTCCATTTGTTTCGCTCCAGTACGATTCCATAACTTCGTACTTAATTTTGTTGCTATGTGTTGGATGCAGTTGAGGTGGAATGGTGGCAATCGTTTTTAGTTGACTGGACTCAACAGTTGCAAGAGATGGAACGACCAATATAGTGTTCGGGATAATTTTTGCTGTTTGTGTACTGTTGCACGGTACTCCCTTTTACACTTGCATGGGCTATTGTATGATTGTAAAACAGCAAAACATTTAGTTCACACCTATTCCCCTTCGTATTAGTTGAAATAACTAATTGGTACCTTCGACTACGGTGTGATTAATTTCGATGAAATTACACGCAGTACTTTTTATTATTCAATATACATACATATATATATATATTCTTTTCAATAGCGGTTTGAAACAAAATATATTTTAAATCTTTCGGTTGTAGAACATTAGAACCAACATAAACTTTTAATTTATAGATTATAAAAAAACGGAATTATACTTTTTATGATGAAATATATTGTAACAATTTTAATATTTCGTGTTGGATTGAACACGAGATAGAGAATGGAGCCAAATCCTGGAGCAGGTACAATATTATCACAAAATCAACAATTTACACATTTCACTTAACTTGTAATCTGCGCTCTTTTTTACCAATACGAATGCATTTTTTGGGTTGATTTAAATATCCAAAAGTAATTTCTACAACTATAGGCACTTAAATCATAAACTGGGCGCCTTGTGTCTAAAATTACCATAACATACAATTTCTGCCCAAATTAATTATTTTGATTTCGGTMTTTTTTCAGTACATATTATTTTAGTTCACTTTTACTAATTTTGTAGTTAATATATGAAGAATCAGATGTTTTGCAACGTTACAAGGAAGGCAATCAATTAGTTTAAAGTAAATTTGTGAGCGTTAAAAACTGCACCAAACTGATAAGACTCTCCAGATAACAAACGTATTTTTATATATTCTTATCTCTGAAAACACTCACTAATACCAACGTTTCTGGTAAAAGTCGCACATGCACAGCTCCTCAGGTTTATTTGTGTAGGTTTCTTAATCAGTAACGTCGTAAACTTCCTAATACTTTTATGTGTGTTGTTTCACTGCTATTTTTGTATAAAGCCACTATACAAATTTATCTTTTCCACAACGAGGCGATATTTATTATTTTCTTTCTTCCTTCATTGGTTACTTTATTCGTCGGTTTTCAATTGAAATTTTCCATTCAAGCAATATAAGGGTAGCAACAATGGCTTGAAAACACCAACTGCGATAATATAGCGAGTGAACGACACCGCCCGAAATATTTTACTTATTCGTCTTGCTTTTCAACAAGTTAACTTATTTTACATTTTTTGTTTTACTCTATTCGTTCTCGCTTTTAGTTTCTTACGAAAACCTTGAATCGCCTCATAGTCGCTACGCGTACACAAAATTTAATTTTCAAAAATAAAACGTGAAAACGTGATTTTTATAAGATATTTGARACAGCAAGTATCATACGAACTTTTTCACTTTACTTTCCGTCGTTTCCTCAGTAAAAAACTTTTTTTCTATACAAATACATACATATACACGTTTCACRATTTGTCACGTTTGCGTGCTCTGTCGAAATTTTCGTTTTATCTTTTTATATTTGTTGACTTGTGCTTTTTATTTTTGGCCAGTTTTACTTTTTCATTTCGCTTTTATTTCTTTCTCTCTATCTACTTGTCGTGTTTCTTTCCTTAACAAGACACATACATATATATTTTCCAATTGGAATTACACCAGTTGCTCAGCATATTATTATATACACGTATATAATTTTTTACTCACAACCACTTGCCATGCTATGGAATGTGAAAACTGTAATTTCTTTATATACTCTGCTGTTTTAATTGGAATCTAAATTCACTTTCCACATATCAAATTTTAAAATATTTTAAAGCAAAAATTTTATTGAACACGACTCCGACTAACTTTAATTCTACTTTTTTCCACTTGCAATGCAGCTATTATATATAGTGCGCTCACTTAACGCTCTCCCGTGTGCCACCACAGTCTGAATTCAAATGAATAGGACGGAATTTCTAAAATTAACACGAGACACAACACCGTACAAAATTTTAGCAACGAATGCGACAAAACGCAATGATAGCCACGACTATACCACACCAACAGCAAAATGACTACGTAAGCCGAATATGTATTTACATGTATGTACTTGTATATACACATTTGGTTACTCTGCTATGTCGGCTATTACACGAAGCAACTTTTGTTGCGGCAACTCTTGGTTTATAGGCGAGGGGGCGACGAGGAGAGGAGAATCGCGCCGAGTTTCCAGTGTTCAGCAATTCGCTTTGTGTTCTTATTCGTAACAGTTCGCTGCGACTTTTTTCTGCATTCGTGTTCTTTCTTTCGTAGTACATAGTTRCATTTGCGTATATTATTTTGAAATTTTTTTATTTTATTTATTTTTAATTGTTTTTTGATTTTTTATATACTAATATGCTGTCTCTTATACACATCTAGATGTGTATAAGAGACAGGGAGAGGAGAATCGCGCCGAGTTTCCAGTGTTCAGCAATTCGCTTTGTGTTCTTATTCGTAACAGTTCGCTGCGACGTTTTTCGCCATTCGTATTTTCTTTCGTAGTGCATAGCTGCATTTGCGTATTTATTTTGAAATTAATATTTTGAATATATTTAAAAAATTTAATTTCATCTTTTGGCACGTAATTTGCAAATATGTATACAAATATATATAATATAATATAAATTTTTTAGAAAATGGAGTATGACGAAAAAATCGAATTAATGAAAGATATTGATTCAGACGATAGTGAAAAGGGTGATATACATATGTCAAGGTCGTTTTGTTTTAATTTTGAATTATAAATAAAATGTATTTCTTAATTAACAGAACTGATTAATATATGTGATAGAGTGGCCCAAATACCTATAAGGAAAAAGCACCGACAATGGATTAAAGTAAAGAGTAGACAATGGATTAAAGTAAAGTGAAAGAGAATGAGAAAAAAACTCGAACAGAGTTGCGCAACACAAGTTGCTTGTGTGAAGGTAATGGGCAACAGCAAAAGAGAATCGCCCGAGAAGCAGCAACAAAGGTTGCTTCGTGTAATAGCCGACTTTCGCTCTGTAGGGAAAGTTATGTGTTGAATACAATGCTCGCGACAGACTGCAAACGACATCTGTCAAATATTAAAATACACACGTTCTTATGGACGGACCTATGACATGACTGCAGGCCGACAGTTGTCGTTCTCACTAACTTCCATATAATCCTATATACATATGCCAACGACAGTTGGACGGCAGTAGAGTTGACAGTAGAATGGAAGATAGTGAGATAAGGTAGAGTGGTAATGCCACTAATATGTAAAATGTAAAATTACTCAAAGCTCTAACAAACCTGACRTTATTTTACAAATAAAAGCATCAAATAGCTCTGTTACATCATTTATAAAAATTRATAATTTAAACAAATAAATTTACCTATTTACTTATTTTTTGCTTAAAAATTTCACTTTCAACAAAATATTAAAATTTCATTGAAGTGCAAGGTATTAGTATGGCCACAACGAAATTGTGTACATGCAAAATGGACAACTGCGTTGTGCCGGGGATTATTATGTTGCTGCTTATGTTGCTTATGTTGCTGCCTCTCACAAACGTTCATGTAGTAGGATTCACAACGCCATTTTCAGTTCACTGTCGTGCTGCTGCAGTCTGTCGCGAGCATTGTGTTCCGCACATTAAAARTGCTTTCTATTTGCCATTTGTAACAACTAAAAGGGGATTTGGGCGCTCAATACATTATTTTATGTGTCACGCCCGGAACACATAGAACGCGACAGACTGCAAGTGACATCTGTCAAATGTTAAAATACACAGGTTCTTATGGACACAGCTATGTAGTTATGCAGCTGCCTCATTAACTGTGTCCTTAAGGACGTGTATTTTAATATTTGACAAATGGCGCTTGCAGTCTGTCGCGCTCTATATGTTCCGGGCGTCAGTCCATGTTCATTCCCAATATGACCGAAACCGAGAAAAAATTGGAATTCCTTTATGAGTAAATAACGTCCCCAAAAGTTTCGGGTACATTTGTCAATGTGTCCTTAGAAGGCCATTGAATACAAACTCTGCTACAGATCTCTGTTAATATACGAGCGAAATGTTCAGACGCCATTAATTTCAGTTTTTCCTGCGGGGTAAATGCGGGCGTTCCCACTCTTGTATAATACTGCATATTGCTGTGGTTTCAATTCAATCATTCTATTGGCAAGAAAGTCATGGTAACAGTATAAAACAAATTGTTTACACCATTAAATATAAGCAACAATATGACATCTTCCAAACATGACATTTGACCGCTTGAATTTACGCCATAGATAACTTGATACGAGACTCTTTGGTTCGAGAGAGAGCTGTCGAAATTCGCATTTTTTATAGCATTTGCCAATGATGCCACTGTGAAAAATATTAGCTTGGGTATTTAATAAATTCTACAAAACACTAAATTAAACACTATGGAAATGCACACATATATAAATGCTAAAATGCAAAATCATTAATTAATTTACATAAACATTTATTTTGCCAAAATATTTTCGCAGAGTTCAATGAAATTTATCCCTGAAGTTATCTATGGGTTCGACAACGACTCAACGATAGCGCGTAAACGTACGTGTGAAGTTAGTTTGCACCAGAGATAAAGAGATGTTTAAATCCTCTCTCACTGGAAGTAAGACAGAAATTTGCTAAACGTCAAATCCTACTGAACTTTGAAAGCTAATCGAGTTCAGTAGGTTTTGACGTTTAACAATTGGAAACGAGCGATGGCCAGATTGAAAGCTTAGAAAAAAATATGTATTTCAATAGAAAATAGAAAATGATTAAAAACATTTAATGATTGAGAGCTAAGGAGCTTAAATCCTTTTATTGGATATTCAAAGGTCAAAAGTCAGTTTTTCTAATATACTTTAAAAAGATTTAAATAGTTTCTCCATTTAGTAAGTAACCAAAAGATAGTAATATAGTAATAATGTTTTAATTTAAAATGCCCAAAAATTCTTATTTTGTTCGATCTGGCCATAATGGAAAATGTTATAAAAAACGCTTATTTTGAGGCGCTCTCACATTGGAATAAGTTGAAGATCCCTTTATTCATCCCGCATACAATTCTTGAAAATTTTGCATGAAATTAACCCTGCAAAACGGGTAGCTGTTAGTTCGCTATTACACGAAGCAACTTTTGTTGCGGCAACTCTTGGTTTATAGGGGAGGGGGCGACAAGGAGAGGAAAATCGCGCCGAGTTTCCAATGTTCAGCAACTCGCTCGCTGTGTTCTTATTCGTAACAGTTCGCTGCGACGTTCTTTCTTTCATAGTACATAGTTGCATTTGCGTATATTATTTTGAAATTTTTTTATTTTATTTTTTTATTTTATTTTATAAAAGCTTACATAATAATACAATTATT